AATTTGGCTTTGGTGAAGATGGGTATAATTCCTACTAGACTTTCCCGGGTGAAGGTAGGCATTTCTTTGCCATTGTCGTCACATAATTTAGCAATTAACTTGCTTTTTTCTGCAATGACTTTGTCGGAATTAGGTTGTAAAGAAGCTCAAATTTTCTCTTTATTTTCAGCAAAGTTTTGGCCTGTGGCATATTTCATATCATATGGCACCATCACAGAACCAAAATCCTTTTTATACTTTGGCTCTACTCGCATATAAAAATGAGGGGGCATATTTTGTGCAGCTAGCTCCCCATTTGGGATACTAATTCGATACCCAACAGGAGTTGGTTTATTTGCTTTTTTGAGATACACTTCGATTTTAGCAATACTATCTTTGAGCACCGGCAAAATATCTGCTCATTCTTGGGTAGTTAAGGTGCGTAAGTCTTCAGTGTGACGTTTGGTCATGATCACCGTATGGTATTTGGAGTTGGGTCGGTGATTGACGGAAGAAAAAACTGTTCCTCCATCTGTTAATAGAGATCTAAGTTGACCTTTCTCTAGCGGAACACTGAGTTTAGCACAAGAGATGCATTTTTTTTCTGGCATAGTAATAAATTAATTTTTATAGGAGTGGATATCATTGTTGGAAGAAGCACATGTTCTCCAAAAAAACTACTAGTGACTATTAAAATCAAAATGATTTGCTGTTATTTATTATTATTCATTTGCGCTGCGTACCGATGGTTTTGGGCAAGTAACATCTTTAAACGATTCTTTGACAAAAGGCCGAATATAATTATAAAGGTATTCTTGTCTTTCATACTTCATAGGAGAAGGAACCAACACTGGAAATGATAGAGCCTTGATTTCTTCTATGATCCTTGAAGCCTCGGATTTACTAATTTTTAATAGTTTGAATTCTTGCAAAGGCCCATTAGCGACTTCTTGGGCTTTAACCACACCAGGGTTAGCACAGGTAAAAAGGAAGTGTTGAAACTTTTGCAGGCCAGGCAATTTTTTGAAATAGGTTTCTAGACCGCTTATGATGTCATAATATTGAAAACCTTCATCACCATTATAACGTCGAGCTTTGTTTAGTCCGGTGATGCTGGACCTTTTTACCACATCTGCGACATGATCGACACAATCCACTGTGGTCTTGCGGTAAAGCCTTTTGATCAATCCAAAGCTACCATCACACTTGAATTTGGTATGGCCGGGAACCATGAAATTTAATTCAATACTTTCATAATACCCCCAAATTACCAAGTATAAAGGGTAGTATTGTTTTTGTTTTGCCCACCCGCATTGTCGCAAGTAATTTTTAAATGCTTCTCGCCTTTATTCAACTGCTTAATCCCATCAAAGACCAGACTAAGCGTACCATTTGGACCTTTCCCAAGGAGTTCATTCTCATCCAGTACGTAGTTGATTTGTTCTCGCACCGCTTCATCCTGGATACCGAATAAATGCACTTTGCGAGCACTAAGATAATACACTTTGCCGATCTGTTGATCTGAATGAGGAACGTGAACATTTTGAGCTCAGTCATAACTATAATGGGCAACCGCGTCAATGCTGCAGTATGGTGCTTTGTCTTTCAGTACAGAATAATTTTGGTTGATCAGCTTTCTCTGTTCTTCCGCTAACTTGGTATTTCTGTTATAATAATTTCGTTCTAACTTGGCTTTAGCGAGATGTTCTTTATATTTCTTTAGTAAATCCTGGGCCTCTTCCTCTTTACGAGCTTTGAATTGCAAATCATTCCGTAAGTGTTGGCAAGTATCGCATAAATCAGTCCTGGGACTCATTATTTGGATATGTGGAGTTAGCTGATGCCACAATTTGCGGAAGGCATCGTATTTGAGTGCGCAAAGAGTACTATTTTCTTCTAGGCCGGCTAAAAAATCCCTGTGAAAGGACTTGTAACTCATTTCTGCAGGTAAAAAGATAATTGATTGGGTAACTCGAATAACATTTCTAACTGGGCTAGGCAACCCATGGACTTCGGCATAATTTAGCAAAAAATTCTTGACGGTGGTGGCAACGTCGATATCGATGACCATCTTGGATTTTCACTGCGGCATTCTCTTTACATTGCCGTGAACTCGCGATAGAAGACCATTCTTGAGCAAGTGATTTCGGATATTTTCAAAATAATTGCGGCCAATGCCGAGCATATTGAGGTAAGTCTTTTGGCAAAGAGGTGTATCATGATTCCAGCAATAAATGGTTCTCTTATTGACGCGAGCCCTGTTCTTGAAGCGTCGACTAGTATTGGTCACTCCCCCATCCATGGCCTTGAGTTGGGCCATTAAAAATATATCTTGTTCAGATTTAGGAAGAGCTTGAAAGGCTTCACGCATCTCAGCAAACGCTTCCTTGGGAACCTTGGACGAGCAACCGCAACTGCAGCCAAGTTCTAAAAAATAGAAGCCTTCGCGTATTCAGTTAGATTTTTGTCATTCATCATATATATATATATATATTTTATGCACAGTTTGTCTGATTTTGTTAAATTTCTTCCACAAAATATTAAAGAATACATAGAACTATCCCTATACACCTTTACTCTTTATATTTTCGTTTTTTCCTTGATTCTTCAGAAGTTTCTGGTAGTTCTCGCTTCTTAAGATTTAATTCCTGCTGATTTCGTCCAGAAACAACTTGATAAGCTGTATTTATGCTTCTATTGGAATTATTAGAATTGACGTATAATTGTTGGTAAATTTCGTAGGTAATTCTCTCTTTAGCCAAATATTCTTGAATGATTTTGGTGTCAGATAATTTAAAAACGTAAGGAGCAATTTTCTCGCCTTGTTCTTGTTTCAAAATGCTTCTGATGGTACTATAGTTTTTTGGTTCCATAGTGGATTTGATGTAAATTAGTTTCATATTTATATAGAGATAGACATATATCAATAGGTTGAATTGTAAATGTCGAACGGCCAGTTGCTGATAGACACAATATTTCTTTCAAAACCTATAAATATATAAATAATACTTTACACCGATTAGAAAAGGCCTCGACCATATCACATTTAAGCACAATCGGTTTACTATCATGTTCCTCTCTGTACATCGGAATGAGAGAAAGTGACAGAGAATTATGGATAGTCATAGTGAAATGATAAGCGTGCTTTAATTGTCCGCATCAATGGAACGCGAGCACCCCGGGCAAGCGCATAAGTCTGAGGCGAGCGCGTCAGACTTTTTAGGGGAATGCTCAGGATGTAATGAATTACACCCTTTCAGCGGCTAAACAAGAAATCAAGTTGGTGGTTGGAATTTTCACTACATACTATTTCAGGATTTACTACGTATACTTCACCACGAGGCCTAGTGAAAGCCGATTTATTCTTCAAAGAAACACCTATTGAAACACCTATTGAATAACTATCCAACACTTCCCGGAACCCAAGTTTTCAAAAAAAAAAAAGTCTCCACCAATTTCGTCGTAGCCACAACGCTTTAATTCTTCTTTTCAGCGATTTTGATCCATAATTTTCATTGGCGTGGAATAGGAAGGCCGTGCCATCTTTTGACGAGGCGGCGTCCTCGGAGATACCTTATTCACGGCTTTCTCATTGATTTCCGCATCAGGATGATTGAGCCACAAATTCATGCTTGCATTTTGTATGGTTTCTGCACATATTTCGGCAGTGCGAAAGATGATCGCCTTTAAATAGAATGAAAAGTGAGATGGATGCTACAGAAAATGCAGGATATTGAATAACTTAATCTAATTTTTATGCTGACCTGTGTTTGCAACATGACTTCGATGCCTCTAGTAAAGACACTAAAATCGTGATGGTCCCGTGGAAGATAAAAACGGCCCAAAAGAACCATGCGGTAAATGGCCTCGTATTTTAGATCCAATTTGAATACACTACATTGGAATCCTGGTTTGGAGATGATATAAATTAGTTTATACTGAGAGATTTGTTTAGAAAAAGTCCATAATAAACCACTTGCCTTGCACTAAGAGGCCACAGATGGCCACGTCTTTGCTATCAATTCCATCGTCAATGACTTTGTCGAGCGCGTCTTTCAATTCATTTCCAAGCTTGACTAAATCATTCAACATGCCATTCTTTCGGTACCTTGGTGACTTGACCTCCGTTACTAGCAAAAACTCTTTAAGTTTCTTTGCAGTCAAGAAAACAGTGTTGTCCGCTTTTTTCCCATCCAAGGAGGGATCGAATTTTCTCTTGCGATGGACTGATGGCTCAAAAACATCAGTGGACCTAATGTTAACCATGAAATGTTTACATAATCAGCAGTCATTGTGGTAATGTGGTAAGAAAATACAAATAATGCTCACCATGAACAATCCAAAAGATCGTTTTTAGTGAAAAAAGGAGCTATGAACGGCGCCAGGATCTTGTGGACAAAGGTGTCCTCGCATGAGCCGCACAAATTCCATAGATTTTGCTGAAGTCTAATAAATGAATATGTATCAGCTTAGAAAATTAGGGGAAAAAATGGCAATGATTAACTTACATCGATTCATAAACTTCTAGCAGAATGTCTTCTTCTTTCTCCAAATCTTTCTGCCATTGTCGGATTAGGAGTCTACAATCCCGTAACGAGCTACTGGCAGCCTAGTAGGGTTAAGGGTTCGAGAATCTTTAATTGAGGAAAAGGGAATCTGGCGACATGGTTAAGAAATGTTACCTTAGTCATTGCATGGCATCTACAAATATCGCTCTCCGAGAATTGAACAGAGAAAAATTCAGCCTTGATATCTTTGAATATTGCAGTCCACAACTTTCCATCGAATGCGTCCCGGGTTCCATTCTTCTCGTCCTCGTCAAATAGAAAAATATAGTTCAAAGACCTATGTGTAGTGAATTATAGAAAATATCAACATTAACCAATTGTAATGATTTTGAAAGTTTATAAAAGATGAACTTACAAAATTTCAGACTCATTTTCCAACTCATCACGCAACGCCTTTTGAATGCACATCTGACGATATTCAATTAGCTTTACGGATATGTTTACATCACTAACAAACCACTATATAAATGTAGAGGTTAAACTTGGTTATTGCACGATATTCATTTTTGAATCACGTTTTAAAAATTACCTGGTGTGCGTCTTTGTCCAATTCCGTTCTCTCGCTTCCCAACCCAACAAACCATTCATACCGGTATTGTCGTTTACCTCTGCCTCCGTTTTCCGAGTCAGCACTCTCAGTGTCACTGGAGCTAGGATGGTAGGAAGTATCATCACTTAAATTTTCGGATGGCGAATCTCCTCCTTTTGGTCGCTCTTTGTTATAAACATCCTGATCATCAAATCCCTGATGTTTTTGTGAGGTCGATCTGTTAACAATGGTAGACTGATTCTAAAAGACAGGATTCGAAGTTGAGTAGGAATTTGGTTCAAGAAGAGCATTATTGTTCAAATATGCTCACCTGAAAAAAATTGTCGATTTCGTCACTCAAATCCTATAGAAAACAAGATTAGAATTATAAAATATGTCCAAAAATACACTAGCAATAAAGCAAACTTACATGGCTATCAAGATACACAGCCGTCCTTCGATTCATTCTATCATTAGTTGTTGCGTTCTGAAATTCCTCTCTGGTCATTACGGTTATATCTTGCCTTCTCTGAAGCAGGACATTTTTATTAGTAAAGGAAACACTTTATACATCTACAACATATAATACTTTCACGCTTACCTTAGCATCTGCTTTTGTCGCTTCCAGCAGAGTATCTCCAATAATTTTTAAACATTCTGATTTCTGATAAGATCATGAGTGTGTAAAAGCTTATTAGATGGAACTAGGAAGTCACTGTCATCGATGCAATAAACAATAGGAAACATACAACGATCTGTTTGTAGATAGTGCTAGCATGCTCCGCAACTTCGGAATTAATGTCCTTGATCTTTGCGATATTAACAAGACTTTGAAAATAGTCCTCGAATACTTGCTGTGCTGTTTTCGTTGGATTCTTTTTGTATACCGAATTTGTAAAACAGTCAACATCTTTCCACCAGCGTGAAGATGCTTTGGAAAAAAATTCATTGACTTCAGAGTATGGTCGACAGAGACTCGCGTCCAATACAAAATTATCGATTTTTGGCATCTGGTTAAAAAAGAATTTTTTTTTGATTGTTAGCTGTCAGCAATACACGATAAAATTACGTAGTATCTTTATAGCCACCATCTGGGGTTAAGTAATTCTGTCACATCATGTATGTTGAAACTCATGAAGTTCGCAAGCAACCCTTAAAATTCCAACTAGGCACCCTTTCATGTTGAATAATTAGGCACGGCTGTAGGCCTCTTGCAACACGACTGACACTCTTCCAGACGCAGGCTCTTTCCGCAACCTCTTTTCTTACACGTGTGTTGAACACGGAAGATTTGCATGTAAACCCTGGGGCATTAACAAGCCAGCATCCATCTGTCCGGCCAAGTAGGCCGCCCTTGGTGTTGAACTGCTAGGCGGGGCTTGACGATCCCCATGCAACAAAAAGAGGCGCGTGGATGTGTAATAAAAGATATTAAACAATACTTCCCTTGACAGGAATTCCGCTTTCGAAACAGGAGTTGTTGAGTGTTTTGAGCTAAGCGGAACTATTCTCGCTGAGATCACGTTCGAATTGGCGACGCGAGTTGAGCCCCGCACGGTCTCATAAAGCGTAGGTGAGATGGAGGCCGAAAAAGTGAGAAACTTTAGCACGCTCAGCCGGGGGATCCTTGTTTGTTGTCATTAGTGCAAAATAGTAACAAAGTGAAACAGAAAAAAAATGACAGATCATGTGACTTCCGATCACATTCTGTCTTTCCGGAGTTCCCGCCCATGTAGATCTCCTTTTTTGGAATTAGTTTAATATATAATGGTAATATGGGGCATGCTGCAACAAAACCAGACAAAGTGAACATTTGACGTCAGGTACAGGTTAGCGTGAGGGATGACGTTCTAGATTTTCCCATTGCTGTTATCCCTTCTGTTACCAGGATAGTTGAAATTAATCAGAGAAGAGATATTTTGCTTTAATTGCTGATATATCGACCTTGCATAATATAGAACTCGTAGTGATGAAGGATATTTTCTCTAGGGTATGCCATTTCAGAATCTGACAATCACTCATTCTTGAAAATTTTAGTTTAATATTGGCAGGCTAATCTTCATTAAGATCTTGAAAATGATACAAAGTAAGCGCAAACCAAGCGAACAATAGTTATATCGTTAATTTTCAACTTTAGGCACTAATTTGTCACTAGATTCTTACAACAACGAATTACCACTAAATTTTTTATCACAATTTTTTCAACGCTCAATAAGCGATAAATAATAAAGCGCCATTAAACCGATACAAATTTTTCTGACAATTTAACGCTAAACAGCAATTAACGCAAAATTTCCGCAAGATCGGGCCCAAATTTTTTTGTAGAGTATATGCTAGAAATAATTATCTCCATCCAACTATAAGCAATCCTCTTCCTATGATACTCCCACGCCCTCGCACCGGAGCCATTCTAAACAATTTGCAACACTGTTTTCTTTGCGATTCGAGCTTGAGCTTTTCTCAAAAACATTCTGGTTACCCCATGTTCGATCCGGACGTCCACATTGCAGGAAATGTCGATTCTGTGCAGAGATATATCGTCAATAAATAAACAATTTTTTACAATCATAAACTGTGGGTTTCCGTAACTTACTTCCCCGGCAGCGGAATTTCAGCTTGGAAGGGCCCTGAAGGGATCGAGTCGATGATCAACTTCCCGGAAGCTGAGTTGTTCGCAAATTTCCCCTTGATGGATATGAATTGATCGTCATCGGCAACGGCAATCTCAAATTCGGTTTTGTCTTTGATACCCGGAGTAAGCAAAACTATGCAGAAAGCTTGGCTGCGACAAGAATTAGATGAATCGGACACGGTAACCCATGATTAATCAATTAAAACAAACCTGTCTTCGTAGAGCCTATACGCAACGTCGGTCTTGTTATCTTGCGGTTGTTCAGTGGAGCTGCCAAGAATACCTTCGGGCAAGTCATATGTGACGTCTGCCTTACTGTTCTGCGACTGCTTCAATGATTTGCTGCCTTTGTTAAATTCATACTTGCTACCAGTCTTGCTGTCTTCGCCAAGTTCGCGTGTGGCAGATTCCTTGCTGTCTCGCGGCCGTTTTGGTGAGTTGCCAGTCACCTCCTCTGCCATCTGAGGGTGAAAGAGGGGGGTTTTAGCGATATAAGCTTGACTCAAATATAGCGCTTATAATGATATAACAAAAGCAGTTTACCAGGGACGTCATTGTTGCTCTTTCTCTTTTAGTTGTGGCAACGCCCAATGCCTTCAGGTTCCAAGTGAAATATGAGAACGAGTATTGAGTAATGTGCAGCAGAGTCTGTTTAAAGCGCTTACCTTCCCATACTCCACTGGTCTTTTAGAATTGAAGTATAGGGCATGAGAAAACTTTACATTGCCATCCCTACCCTCCGGTGCATCAAATAGCCTCCCATTCATTTCATGGTAGAACTGAGCAGCTTCCATCTGTGTATCGAAATGAAGATGGCCATATCTAAAAATTCACCAGCATGACCATAAGTGAGAACATTCTAACAGATTTCAAAGCTACTAACTCCACTTACCCATTTTGCAGCTTCTTCACAATATGTCGAAAGGGAACTGGACTAAATGGTTTTAGCCATTTTTCAAGCTGGGTATAACTGAAGCCACAAATATCCCCTCCAATCAATACTGATTGCTCTGGTTTCCCACAGCATAAGAACTTGCGATAGACTGGAGGGGAAGATGTATTCTCTGTAGGATAGAACATTGTGAGAAGAGAATTATTGCACTCCAACGAATGGAGGGTTATTGCACTCCAACGAATGGAGGGTTATTGCACTCCAACGAATGGAGGGTTATTGCACTCTAACGAATGGAGGGTTATTGCACTCCAACGAATGGAGGGTTATTGCACTCCAACGAATGGAGGGTTATTGCACTCCAACGAATGGAGGGTTATTGCCCAGCAGCAAAGGAAGAAAATAACGCCCTCGCGAATCAAATAATGACTTACCTGCTTCCATTCGCGTGATTTCCTGTTTTTGCTTCTTGACGAGTTGGGTTGAAGTTATCGGTGATTCTTTAACTGTGGTGATTACAGTTTTTTTTGCAAAGCGAAAACAACAAATTAATATGTGGGGTGTAATCGTTTGAAATGAGAAACTTGGAGAAGCCTTCAGAGTAGTGTAGAACGAATGACAAGGATAAAATTTTTTCACATGTAAACAAACGCCATCACGTAGTCACGCTACGTCACACACCCTCTCGATCACGTGAATCCGATATAATTTTAAAAAAATTATCGCGCCTGTGATCATACTATAGGCAAAATTGTGCGAGGAACATTTTTCCTTAAGACCCGAGTTTCCGAAACAGCGGCATCACACCTTTCTTATTCAATACTCCTACTCTTTCCTCGTTCTATCGAAAACTTCCACTAGCATTGCCCCGCTCGATGGCAAGCATTGGAATCATCTTGGGGTGAGGTTGTGTTCTTGTTTGTATTCCACCACTTCCTACCCTGCCATCCAAGTGAGTCGGCATTTAATGTTGATCTTTGTTCCCTTTGCTAGAGGAGAAGTTGAAAACTTGGACCGCAAACTACAAAGAATCTTTCAAAATTCCCGAATGGACGAAGACCAATAGGGTGGCTATACGATGCCATCCTTGTGATGAAAGTTGCCAGTACGGATGTGCAAGTCGGATTCGGTGAGGTGGGGAATGCATGTGAGCAAAATGATGGGAAATGTGCGAAGACCGAACAAAAATCTTGAAATGTGAGTATATTAAGTCTCAAATTTGCTGTCTTCTGAATTCCCTCCAATACTAATTGAAACGTGGAACACCGAAAAGCTATGCAACTTGCTCGTGCGACTACGGCGACTGCTTCTTGAAAAAGGGAGTCTGCTGTGGAAACTGGAAACTTTTGGAATCTTGGTGAATAGTAAGTAGCAACATGCTTTTAAATCTGCTCCTTGATGTTTTGTATCCAGGTCTAGCATCCTCTAAACCATCATTAAATTGTGTAGAAAAAGATTTTTATTTCTATTCGATGCATCAAGTCGATGGTGACTTCTTGGTTGATCAAATTGATGGCTTTGTCCTTCCGGACAGTTGCAGCCACCTCAAAGAACTTGCGGTATCATAAGAGCAATTTTGTTGTTCAAGGTGATGAGATTTTCTTAAGCTGTTTCCTGTTATTACAACCAGTTCCTTGCGTTATTAACCTGTATTTCCGGACGTTATTCTGATGTTCAGGATCGTGTGCTACACTTACACCGATGCATTGAATCATTGTTAGAACAAAGTCGATCAAATCCCACGCGACGCGTTCATCGTGTTGTCGAAAAGTTACCCGAGCTAAGTCTGCGCAAGCCCGGCAAGCACCATTGAAAGCCAAGCGATGGAATGGAGGGATTGTCGTTTCTGGAGATGCTGTCATTTTCTTGAATTTCGATTTGTCCTCTAGCCAGAGTAGTAAATTAAAGTTCCTTGCCGTCGGCGGCATCAGCATAGCAACGATGACAACAAGCTGAAATGGTATAGGACTACCCCTATATAAAACATACACATATGAAACTAATTTACATCAAATCCACTATGGAACCAAAAAACTATAGTACCATCAGAAGTATTTTGAAACAAGAGCAAGGAGAGAAAATTGCTCCTTACGTTTTTAAATTATCTGACACCAAAGCTATTCAAGGATATTTGGATAAAGAGAAAATTACCTACGAAATTTACTGACAATTATACGTTAATTCTAGTAATTCTAATAGAAATATAAACACCACTTATCTAGAAGATACTTCTGGACGAAGCCAACAATTAAATTCTAGGAAGCAAGAATTACCAGAAACATCTGAAGAATCAAGGAAAAAACGCAAATATAAAGAGTAAAGGTATATAGGGATAGTCCTATGTATTCTTTAATATGCTGTGTGGAAGAAATTAACAAAACCAGACAAACTGCACATAAAATATATATAAAATATATATATGATGAATGACAAAGATCTAACTGAATACGAGAAAGCTCTCAACTTTTTAGAAGTAGGATGTGGTTGCGGTTGCTCCACCAAAGTGCCCAAAGAAGAATTTGCTGAATTGCGAGAGGATTTTCAAGCGCTAACAAAACCCGAACAAGATATTTTCTTAATGGCTCAACTCAGATCCATGGATGGAGGGGCGATCAATACTAGTCGACGTCTCAAGAACAAAACTCGGGCCAATAAGAGAACTATATACTGCTGAAATCGGAATACACCTATTTGTCAAAAAACCTACCTCAATATGCTTGGCATTGGTCGCAATTATTTTGAAAATATCCGAAATCATTTGCTCAAAAATGGTCTTCTACCACGGGTCCACGGTAATGTAAAAAGAATGCCACGGTGAAAAACCAGAATGGTCATCAATATTGACGTGGCTAGCGCAGTCAAGAATTTTCTGCTAAATTATGCCGAAGTTCATGGCTTACCCAGCCCGGTTAGAAATGTTAATCGCGTAACCCAATCCATTATCTTTCTACCAGCAGAAATGAGCTATAAATCTGTTCAC